AGTCCAACTAGGAATAAAAGTATTTCCCTGAAGTTATGACATTCTCATAAATTTTACATTTCAACTATTTTATGCTCAAACTGACTTTCTGGTGTATTTTAAAACATCCATGATTCTATATGAAATACATTGAATTATGCATAGCCTTTTTTATAGAATATGAGAATTTCAGTATTTTTTCCTACCTCAGACTTAGGGTCTCATTCTGCTGTTTTATTAGGAGATGGTCTTTCATTTCTGAGAAAGGGAAAGATTGATTCATGCAACCAGCAAGAGTTCTCCCATTGACTTTTGTCTTGGCAAATCAGGCTTCCGTCGTACACCTTTACAGAATTATTTTTACAAAACACGTCCACTTTGCCCACAAAATAAAGCTGCCAATATCTCATTTATTTGTGTTTCAGGGAAACATTTTTATTGTAAAAGACTGTGCATTATAATGCTTAATATGAAGTGGCTGAACAAAGAAAGCCAATTCTAACTGACTGCATTAAGAATACTCCCAGATTTTCTGCTATGCAAACTTTAAGTGCATTTGCAATCAGGCACCCAGTATATCCTGCAGTTCCGATTCTGCAGTGTGTTGTTGCGTGACCATGAGGGCTCCTCTTGCCATCTCTGGATCATTTCTTGCCAGACAAGCACGGAAGTGCTGAAACATAACACTACACAAAACACCTTTAGGCCTGGTCCTGCTCTGCATTTTTTTACATACAGAAAAGTACTTTTTCAGTCAAGTAGATTTTTGATTGCATTAAAATATCCTGGTTCTGATTGTGTGCAGATTTAAATGTGCTTAATAAACAAACACTGAGATCAGCCAGTGGCATTGTACAGTGTGCAAAGTTAAGCATGTATTCAAGTCTTTCTGGGGGTAAGACCTGCGCTAAGATAAATAAGTTTTATAAATATATTCACAGATTAAACAGCAGGGCTTTTGCCACAATGGCTTGATCTTACTCTTTTTACCTGTTCCAAAGTTGCTGTTTACTTTCTTGGGTCCTCTGTACAAGTTGGATGAGAATTTCAGAAACCACACAAAACACCAGGCGGAAAGGTTTTTAGATTCTCTATTTTTTAGCATTCCTACACAGTACTAATGTCTTGACAACCCTTTTCAAACTGATCGAGGTTCAGAGCTTGGGGTTCTTCCTCAGTCTGTGTTGGTACAAGCTCATATTCAATTCAGAATTAAAACTAAATACAGAATCACAGAATGTTCGGGGTTGGAAGGGACCTCTGTGGGTCATCTAGTAGTAGCCTCAGCATTTGCCTTACTGTTTGCAATGTGAGGAATAATGTTGTATGGCTCGTCTCCTATTCTTAAGGAAACAAACAAGCTCACAAAAATTGTATGAGACAAATTAGACAGTTTTAAGATTGACTTTTATTGAAAAATTAAAACTGCATTGTGTATCTTCTTTATAACTTGAACATTTCTTAAACCACAAAACAGAGATGCCATTTAAAAAATCTCTTCATATTTGTCACCATTCAAAAAACAGATTATGAACTAAGTTAATGATGATGATAAAATTCTGGGTTATTCCCAAGGCCCCTGGTTCTGTCTGTCTGCTATGAATGGTATAATCTGTCTTCTCTAAAAGTACCTTTAATAATACAATCAGAATTTCTCTCATTCAAAAAATAACAGCTGCTGTTGGTTTTTATCCAACGATCAGTCTTTTCCAAATGAATTGCCTCGGTTAATAAGCACTACTGCTACGTGTTCAGCTAAAATCTTGCCTATTGTCTATTTGAGCTGAATTCACTCACACAAAATTACAGTGATTGTCTGTGTGATTTTAGAGGATAAATTGCTACTTTACAGTATATTTTAAACCTCAGAAAAACAAAGTTACTCACCTGGAATTGCAATGCTTTGAATTAGTCAACACTTCTGCATATTCATACTTCCTGATCTCTCACAGTCAAGAGTGTATGGATTAAAAAGCAGGAAAATTCCTGGTAAGCTTTTGTCTAAGAAGCTGTAACATATTACTCAGATGAAAATTACCTACTGAGAAAAAAACACAGATAAGTATTCTCACTGATGACCGTAACTGCTCTGTTAAAATCACCTAACCAAGTCAGAAATTAATACGAGCCCTGTGGCTGGGGAAGCAGGTACATGTAACAGGGAAACACTCCAGAGTCTGATATTAGAATTAAAAGCTTTGCAAAAATCTGACTGTGGGTATCATCTGTGTCAAGACACAACACTGCAGAAAGGCAAGTTAAAAAGCAGAGGGTAGGAAGATAAACTTAAACCCCCTGTCTTTAGAGAAAACACCTCTGTGTTAATTGTCTCACTTCTGAAACAGGCAGGAGGAGCTCCATCATCCCCACCTAGCTGCAAACCATCAAGGACAATAGGTGGAACCTCTGATGCTTTTGACCCCCAAAACACAAGATGCTCTGTTAAATGAAGAAGCAGAAATTTTAGTGAGCAAAACATTGTATATGTGCTGAAGAGATCTAGATCTATTTCTAACTACATCACAGGACTGTCCAAGGACTACTGCATGAATGCCAGTGCGCCATACTATGGTCTTTCCTATAGCTTCATGGTCAGTTACATCAGGATGATTCTCTTTACCTAGTTTACATGCTTCTAGGAGATATAACGTTTCAAAGACAATAAATTATTATTAGAATATTGAGATTATGATCTAGATACAAGGTCCATAATGTTAAAAGATTGTTAGAGGATTAATGGTAAGTTGGGATCTTTAGTAATACTGTTGCTGAAATATCTTGACTTGGGAGGTGGAGGAAGTCAGAAATTCCCACCTAAGAACTGGCTGAAGAAATCACAAGGACCGTGGTGCTGCTTGTATGGAAGACGTAAAATCCCCTAGTGAGGCTAGGTCAGCAGTTATACATCTTTGCATTGACTATAATAGTTCATATTGTTTCTTATAAACAAGGAGGACTGAGGGAAATCTTTCAATGTTCTGTAGCTGCCCTTTGAATAAAGTAAAACTGTGACAGAGATGGGATTTCAGGCAGAAACCTGTAAATTGAAATGTGACATGTAATTCCTCTTCAAAACAAACTTCTTTCTGTACTCTAAAAAAAGAGCTGTCAACAAGAGGCCCTGTAGTTTTGATGAATAGCTGATATCTGTCAAGAACGTAGCTTAATATTATGGAAGTTGGTACTGAAGTCAATGTTCACGCTGACTACTTCTGTATTGCAGGCCTCAGGTCATACAGTATGGATGTTTATAACAAGAAATGTTAAGTGTTGAAGACATGGTAAGATATCAGGGTTAAAATTAAGGAAGATTGAAGTTTAAGATCAAGAAGGCAAGAAACCAACTACACTATCCTGTGGAAAATAACCTAATGAAAGCAATGCTGTACTAGTGAGGTTACTGGGGGGTTTCATGGCGTAAAAGTAAGGATGGAGATAACCTTTGGAAAGCCATACTCATAAATCTGAAAGACATATATAATAGTTTTTAGATTCAACTCCATTTCAAACAAAAGTTTCGCAGAGGTCACAGAAGAGCGGAAAGCAATAGTCCTATGAGAAGCTGGAACGGCTGCTCTATATGATATGGCATTTGCGGTGACAGCTTCTTCCCTATCCCTGCTCTCACCCAGCCAAAGACGTGAGACAGCATCCTCAGAAGGCAACCAGTGGGATCTGCAGGATGGAAATTTCACCTGGCTGTAGTTGTCCTTCCACAGAACTGAAGGGGGCCAGAAAGGCCACAAAAAATGCATGGCATGACTGCATTTCACCAAATGTTTCTAAAATAATTTAATTTTATTACATATTTGGGGGCAGAGGGGGACAGGGACAGAAAAGAAAAACCAATTAGTTACTGACTTGCATAGAAGATGGCCATAGAAACATGTATGTAAAGATTTGAAATTACCATATTCCATTTCTCACCATGACAGTAACTCAGTAGACAGAAGAATATTGAATCTTCATTTTGTTCCGCTACTCTGCTTCCAGTATGGAGTTTTCCACTCGGTAGTATTGATTATCTAATGATTAAAACTGAACAAGCTGCAGATAACTCTGGTGTCTGTACTTTGAAAAGTCTAGCCAGATTAAACTGTTGTGACAAGCCAGCTGTATTTAAAGATTCTGAGATTGCTTTTGTTTTCATTTATTTTATACTCCAAATGCATAGTGAATTCCATTTCACTAAAAGAATGATGCTGGTTAAAACTCCCACAGAAATGCTGTAGACCTTCAGGAATCTCCCCACAGAGTTTAGTTCAAATGGTCATAGATTAGTCCTGAAATACAACTCAAAAACAGGGGCCTTGGTTAGCAGCCAATATTCACTAGAAAAGCATTCAGAACACTAGACAGACAGTCTGACATTACAATAAATAAAATTGAAAATTCTAATAGATTAGAGGGATCTCATCATTTGACAGTCTATACACAATCCTTATATTCAGTAAAATTATCTGTAAGTTATTATTTTAAGGGCACTAGAATTTAAATGAAAACATCAACTAATATTTTTGTTTTTTTTCTTTGGCTCACAAAGACACTAAAATACCATAAACATTATTTAGAACTTCAATAATATATAAATAGGATACATTACAAATGGAAGAAAATACAAGACAACTCTTCAGCATGGTAAATCTCTGCATATAAATAAGCAAATATCTCATATACCTACAATTCAACAGTTATCTTGCTGTAAAACTATTACATTTAAAACCTTTTACACAAAGTCATTTAACAATAATATACACAATCTACACAAATTAACCTCTAAAAATACAGCAATAATATACCTGTTACGACGACTCCGCTACTATTATCCCCTGATGTGACACTAAAGGGGAAATACAACTATTTTACTCGAAGGTGCTGTTAGAGATTGCTGTTTTGTACGTGAGAGAAGCACCAACAATAAGATTTAATACTGTTATACATTTTCTTTAGCTCCTAAGAATCTACATTTTAGAAACGTTTCTACATGTCTATTTTTGCCTGGCAGAAAAATCTGTAACACACTGCTGACTACAATAAACAAGACCAATGTAAGAGTCAATAGCACTTCAACTTCAAGATAATATATTTTCCTTCAGTAATCTCATCTACCAATACATGTATATTTCAGTAGCCTATAGTTATGTTGCTTAAGGATGTCTTAGGAGACTGGAACTTACAGAAAGAGAATATCCTTCAAACGTGTTCTGCAGAACTGGGTTAAAAAAGTAGCCAGTGCTGGAAAACAGTGAATTAGAGAACAAAACAATTCAACCACTCCACTACAGCTCCTGCCCCAACCTCTCTATTTCCTCAATGAGGAAGTCAATGTCAGACTTAGTTGCTGCTGGGTTTGAGATGACCATTCGGAAGAAGTTGACTTTATTGCCCTGAGGCTGATATCCAACCATGGTAGTACCTGACTCCATCATAAGTGCTTTGATTTTCGGTGCCACCTTAACCATTAAAAAAAAAACAAAAAACAAAAGACAGACAGAGAGAACAATTAAAAAAATTTATCCTTTGTATGTCACAACATTTCTTAATTTGGAAAAAATAAATGGACAGATCAGAAAGACATTCGTTTTTATAAAAAGATCTGTAAGAGAAAAAGCTTGAAGAACTAAACATGTAGGATTGGATATTTAAAGGAAAATTAACAATAAGAATATAAATCTTTTTGATTAATAGACTAATAGCATTCTAGAGTATTCACTATGTAATAATTATATATATTAAATGTACATGTCGTTCCTCTGTGCTGAAGATTTTGTCATGAAGAAATATTTTCTGCCTTTTTACGAAAACCTGCTCCAGAAGCACCCTTCTGAGGGATGTTTTCCATGACAAAGTCATTTGGGGGGGGGGAGGAGTGGGGAGAATTGATGGAACATTTTCAACAACATCTGCATCATAAAGAATATTTTCTGTTAGCATAAGCCACGGAGACCTTCCTGTAGATTTGCAGTACTGTGCGTTTACCGCTATCTCACTTCCTCACTTTAATTTACAAGGAGTAATGTTCTGACAATCTTAATATCTGGTATTGACTGAGCCCAGTTTTGTCATTTCTTTCTCCTGCTCTGCTCTCTGACTGCCAAGGTCAGACGCCGGGCTCTTTTGCTGTTTTGTAGGATGCTTTATAATGTCCTCTAACACTTAACAGGGTCAAGTCAAACATTTAATCCTTCTTCCCAGTCTTATCTATCTTCCTCTCTTCTCTCTTTTTTGGCTATCTCTTTACCTAACATGTCGCTGGGTTGACCCAGGAATTTCTGTTCTCTTCTGTTTTCTTTCCCCAGTGTGGTACAGACATAAAATCCTCTACAAAACCTCCCAAGTTTGCCCGTTCTTCTCCCTTCCCAAACATAAAAAAAATGCAATTCATTTTGACAACTATAAAATCATTCTTTTGTCTCCTGAATGTATTTCGTTCCACTTCTGTCTGTCTAAAATGCTACTGCAAGATTGATGTATTTCACTTCCCCCAGGTCCTAAGTAACACAATGCTTTTCCTGGTGGTGCCTCTACGATGCCTTCACTTCCCTCTATTATTTCTTCAAATAAATTGATCCCGAAGTCCTCCAAAGGGTATTCATTTTCACTGAAATTCATTGATGCATGAGTAACCAAGCACATTTAAAATCAAAATAAAGACCTGAGAAGGACTTCCAGGTTTCCATGTCCTTTACCTTTTCCCAGAATTTTCTAATCTACACTCCTGTTTCCCTTGCTGATACGCTGTCCTATTCAAACAGGACTGGGATGTCTTTGTGTCTAGCTACTTCCTAAAGATTCATAAGACTTTTGGGAGTATGGAAGTGATACGCAACAAAGAATAACTGAGTGTGTTCTGTGTCTGGTTCTATAAGGGAAATGTGACTTCAGCCTCAGTATAAATAGGAGACAAAGGTGAACAAATATCAAGGGCATAACAAGCAATTGGAGAACTGACTGTACAGAATTTGGAACACGTGTCAACACATAGATATATTTTTTTTAATAAACAGGATACTTTGGGTTGAAAGAATAGGCTATATTGTTGCATTTAACAAAACCCACATACCCTGTGTAACTTTTCTCTTCTCTCATCACAGTCTGGCATGCCCCTGAGACTTGGCGGAATATACCAAAAACATACATTTGTATGCTCGGGCTGCAAAAAGAACCAAACACATACATTAATAAACAAAGTACAGATCAACCACACATGAAAGGCTAGTCAGCAGCATATTTTAGCACAGACATGGAAGACAAAATATAGTATCCTAGTTCTGCATGTTAAAACGAAATAAATGGATTGCAGTAAGGCTGGTTGCAACTGCTGTCTTAGATTCCCTATACATTGTCCTGTTTCCAGTGTTTTAGGGCCCCAATGAAGTGCAAATGCTTTTCACCTGCATGCAGTTTTATGAGGAACTGCTTTCTAGGATTGCAGCAAGGGCAATCCAATTTTCCTTGTCTAGTGAATGGAGAGACAAATTATATTTGTTGTTCTGTCAACCAAGAGCTTACGCAGTGGCACTAGCAACAGAAGCTAAAGAAAAAATAGCAGATCCTCAGTTACGTATGTTAATGTGGACTCTCAGCATGAGTAGATTGTATTAAGGTAGTCTTCATGCCCTGAGCTGAGAAGTCCTCTGCAGAAGAGAAGGAGGGAGATGAATCTGTCATATATGATACAAAGCCACATGCATTTGGCCAAAAAACTTCCCAGATGCCAAAAATCATATAGCTCTTCAGAAAAGAAGAGCAGTTTTTCGTACCTGGCTTGAAGAACTGTGGGAAGTGTGAAGACCCTTTTTGGAATTCTGTATAGATTTGGCTCTTACACACAGGCTAAAGAAAAAAAACTTACCTCCCCTTCGAAAACCATCTCAAACTCTTCTCTGTTTTTGATTTTAGTGTAGAGATATTCTGCCAGCTCCAGGCATTTGTTGACCTGATTTTCAAATCCTACTGTCCCCTGTTTTAAAAAGAAAGTAACTATTAATCATGTGGTCATTTTTCTTGCTCAGATGGAATCATCCTTTCAGATAGGCTTCACTCTTAAATATTTTCAGTCAGAAAAGATTTAACAGTACTATTTCTTGTCATTTAGAAGTAAAGTCAATCAACACTACAAAAGCAGCTAAATGTGGTCTAATTGTAATCATTATGTGGTTTTAATCTTGTTTTAAGAGAATTTACTGTGATAACAACAAGGGCTTTTGATATTTTTAATAGAGTATTGTTAGCGCTTTTTTTTTTTCAGTTTCCAGAAATATTATGAATATAAAATCTTGGCTCCCCAGCTATTACTGAAAGACTGGGAATATGGAACGAGAACTCAGTTGAAAGGGTAGGAGTTGGGAAGTAATTTATTTCCACTGAGCAGTTTGCTAGAAATCTGCGTCTGAAAAAGTCAGCAAACAAAAGCCTGCAATATGCTTGCTGAAAGTCATTTGCCTGCCTACTGATCTTTTGTCATATCTGATTTCTTTTGAAAGATCCTAATCCCAGAAAAGGTAGAGGAAAGTTGCAAATAAATAAAATAAGAAAAAAAAGTTGTGGTTGGGTTTTTTTGTTAAAGTACACTTCTGTACATGACTGAAGAAGTAAGAAAGACAAGGATACTCTTAAGTTATTGTGTATTTGTGGTAAGTTCTTTGTGCTGAATAAAACGACTGAAGGTAAAGTCACAAGAATACTTCTGGACCTAGGCTGTATATTTCTGTTATGAGGACAAGAGTATGATCACTCACAGGGGCTAATGCTGAAGGAAAAATCCGCATAGCTCCTAATATTTTGTTTCCTTAGCATTTTAGTAGTATAATCATGCCATCTGCTAGAAACAGGTTCTGTCCTCAGAGAACTCGGGTCCAAGGAATCTGTGTCTGTCTCCAGACCAAACAGACATCCAAAGTAACTAATTTCTGTAAAAATTTAAATTCCAGACATGCAGATCATCTTAGCAATTTTAAACTATATTATTTTTAAAGAATCACATCTACAGATATCCTACTTCTGAATCTTAAATATGACCCACATCCGTTATGGTTTCCACTGTAATTTTTTTCTTTATTGTGCAGTGCTCTACTTCTTTAGTGAAGCCAGTTTAACAGGTGAATATAACAGCAGAGGTAGAATCAGCGTGCTAGTTGCTAGTTTTAACAAAATGTGTTCAGCTGCTATTCAGAAAAAAGTTCAGTCTGTGCTTTGATGGAGTCTGTAGTCAGCACTTAGTAATTAGAATCATAAACAACACACTTCAAAGTTGCTAGTCACAGTCAGGTTCTAATGTGTCATCAGCAGTGTCACATTACTGGATTACAGTACCAAAATTATTTATTTTGGAGGAAGAACTGAGTCTGAATTGAAGTGTACTTAGCCTGACAACGAAACCTGTGCTGATTACTAAAGTAATTGTTAGAAGTATTTTGTGTTGAAGTGTTGTGTTTCTGTAGTACTTTTTAAAATAAACAGTGACAATCCTACAGTCTGTTTAAAAGTAACTGTATATCTAAAGTTCTGTTACTTTCTTCTCTCAGTCTTCAATATTGAGGAAAACTGCATGAAAACGTCTTGTACCATTTCAGGTTATTTACTATTTCTGTTTAAAACTCACCCAAAGTGAAAACTTTTTTTATGATTGTGCATTTGCCATTTGATTTAATCTTATTTCTGTAAAAAAATATGAGACTGTGGACAGATTACCCAAATTAATTCTCATTTTGTCAGCAGAAAAGCAAGAACAGTAATAAGATGACTGCAGATGAAGAAATAAAAATGAAATGTGTTTTCTTGACCACATAGACGCTCATCTTGTAAACAGATAAGGCTGTATGTAAGCCTGTGCTTAAATTCAGCCATCCAGGCATACCACAGTAGCACCAGGGAATCAACTGTTAAATCATTAGTTGGGCAAAACTTTGTAAGAAAAAGGTTGTGTTTTCAAAGTTGCTTGTAAAATGCATGCATAGAAACATGATGCTCAAAGGAACCTTGTAAATCATTAAGACTACTCTGCTGCTACCACAAGTAATCTCTCATAAAATACATTTGTAAGTGTATAGAATCACAATGAAAGACCATTTCGGTGTCCTGCCCTCACAGGTTTTACTGCAGGACTCATCTAGTGACTTAAAACTTGCTTCTAATTTCCAGCTGAATTTATTGATGGCTAACATTGTTCTACAATTCAAATGGCTCTTTTCTGACTTCATACTCAGATACCTGTGTGTTTAGAGATTGTAATTACACACAAATTTATGTTAAAAAAAAATTGTTCCATTACATGAGACTTCTAAATGAAATAAATAAATTTCTGATTTTTGAGCTTAAAGTTTGATTATTTACCTTTGCCTTCCACATCAACCAGAATTTGAAAATGTCCACATGTCGACCACACTGTATTGCCTTATCTCCAGTGTCGTAGGATACGTCATACTGTTTGTCTTGCTGGAAGAGATAGCCTGCACACATTTGATTGCAGCCTTGAAGTATGCCCTGTAGTGAAAAACATGTATTGATATGGCTTACGTGGCATATGTTCATATGAAACTGTATGCATTAATAATATATATATAAATGTATTTCAAACATATATAGAAGACTTGTTCTTTAATGGGCCAAATTATAAAATATTGACCTTGTCTGGTAAACCTGAGCCACAAAAATAATTTTGTAACCTAAGATGGTTCTCTTAGAAGTCCCTGAGTAGTCATACGGTTTTACTCACCCACACTTGAAAAAACACATTCTCAGATTAATTTGGATTCTTAGTTTTTGACACTAACTTTGTCCACTTCACTTTGTAAGGCTAAGTTCTTAAGATTTAAACTGCTGATGTGTTAAATTACACACTAGAATAAAGCTGTGGTCTCTCACTGCAGCAGTTAGCTATGGAAAATGAAGGAAAAAAAGAAATTGAAGGCTTCAACTTTATATATTGTCCATCTTTTTGACACTTAACATTAGTAGTGCATGTAAGTACAAATGACCTAAACCAGACATTTTTTGCTTACAAATAAATATGGCCCACAGACCAAGAGAAACCTACAGATTATTGCTAAACACTCTGAGGGAAACACAGAGGAGAAAACTCCTGTACGTTACACAGAAGTCTTATACACGTGACATTTCTAAAGTGGTTTGCATCTCCTTTAGAGTTTAGTAGTGGTTCTCTGAAGAAGCTTGAAGACACTGATGTATATGATAAATACAAAAACACCTATCAAAGTTCTCATATAGAGAATAAAAATTTTTGCCAAAATCCTGCAGTAGTTAGTATGATAAGCATGTGTGCCACTAAATAACGGCTAGTGTTTCCCTCCAATAGATGTCAAGGTGTTTTATAGAGGGAAATAAATGCTGCAGTCTTCAGTTTAGAAATGGGTCACCTGGAAGAGCAAAGGTAGACCTAGGGCTGGAACTCCCAACTCCTACACCCCATCTCTGTGCACAGGGACCAGTTCTTCAACTAACCTCTTGAAGTACCAGTTGGCATGCCAGAAATTAGCAGACAATAAAATTAGCCCCATTCACATTTGACATGAATTTCTTTTTTTTTTTTAATCAGCTGAGGAAAATACATATTGCTTAAAAGAATTAAGACACTGGTTTTGCTTTTATTGACAATGAAGAATCTAGAAGAAATTCCTAAAAATACATATAGAGTCATAATAAAAGCAGCATGGCTTCTTTTCAACAGAATTGAGAAACTTTTAAGCCACCGTGTATGGTAAAAAAGTTGCTTTTTATTTAAGCCATTTAGACTGTGACCAATTACTAAGACCAAGGGTGTATGATCAGTATATCATAGAAACAATGGGGCAGATGCTGGGATGAAGTATGTTAGCATGGCTCTAGTGTTATGATTGGAATATGCAAAGATTCAACAGCTAAAGATCTGACCCATATTGCCTACAGCTTTCCAAAAAGGACCCCAACACCCAAACTCAAAAAACCAAAAAAAACCCAGTAAAGATAAAACAAATTCCTAAACGCTATGTAAATCCACACAATTATTCCTTCCAAAAGAGGTTTTGAAATTAGATAGATTTTGCACTACCCTCTTAAAAAAAATAAGGCTTGATATTTACTTTTTTTTTTTTTTTTTAACTGCTTAATTATTAAATATAGGGCAGACCTTCTCCCGGACAAGAATGGCAGAACATTGTAACAACACTCCCATCATCTTGTGTGGATTCCAAGTGACCGAGTTGGCTCTGCAAAAAAATTACACAGATAGGTCTCGAAAACAGAAACTTAACCTGAAGCAGTCACCTTTGTTTTCTGCTTTCAGCTGGAAATGCATGGAGTTTTGACCATGATGATTTCACTATGGAGATTGTTACTGTCTCAAGTGTCTTCTTTCCCAGCTATACTGTCCAGGAAAGGAATTTTTCATGCATTAACATTGCAATGTCAGTCTTCTGATTAGTTTATATTATTACTAATACCAGCTAATTAGTTTCAGACTATGCTGATTAGCTGATATAGTAACTTTGTCCCCACAAGACTCTACTTCTAGAAATAACACTAGTAAAACTAGCAAAAACATTTGATGTGTTATATCAATTCAAGGTACTGATTGGGGGAATGCAGTGTCAGAGAATTAATGGAATAATACGTATTCTGGGAGGACACAGTTCTTTATTGAACTGGAAAAGTAGAAACAAAGGAAAAGACACTCCTCATGCTTATCTGCTTTTCCAGTTAGAGCCACAAGAGGCCTTTTCTGTACTATCTTGTCAAGCCCATGGACTGTTAAAAAGGCTATAAAACTTTGTATGACAATCCCACCATTCTGTATGTAATGCTTAAAACTTTTTACATGTAAACATAGGTGGATGCACAAGATCACCTATTTTACTAGCCAAACAGATGAGATGTTCTGTATTTTTAACATACTATGCTAGACAGTTTAATTATGATACTAAAATAAATGTGCCAACATTGCACATCCATTGATCTCTTCACCCTAAGCAATTAATTACCAAATGTCCCCTTGATTCACTGTGTGTTCCAGAGAAGGAAAGGGTGTGATCGTATTTCACAGACTATGCTTGTGTTCTTACAATGCGATTGAAAGAAAATGCAAAGATATTTCCTCCTCTTCTACACCCTGCTCTCAGAGGACACAAACACAACCACTGTTACTCTGTTTTGAGCAACACAATGACTCCTTCATCCCAGTCTCAGGAGCACTAATTCCGTAAAGATTCCAGATACGATTCCAACCTCTGTCTGCGCTGGGTTAGACCATGGCACCCCTCAGCCAAAAGAACAGCACAGCCTGTGCTGTACCTGGGGAGCTCAGCACCCCTCTAAAACCTCCTGCTCAGGCAGTGCAGTATATAGCTCAGACTTAAGGGGGTAATTATCTTTTAAAAAATGTCACAAAGTTCAGATGGAGTAATCAAGAAACAGGAATTAGTATAACAGCTTGTTTCCTTTTGACAGAGCTGTGGTTTCAGTTTAGGGCATTCATTTAACTTCCAGGGTTCCAGGCAAAGTCTATTTCAAGCCATTTTTGCAAGGAGCGTTAGGTTTATTTTAGCATGAAGACGTCACTCTGTACCCCATGCAGTCAGCCAGCCATCAGCTATCCCACCGCAGGCAACCCCAGCTCCGCGCCATGGCAGCACACCAGCCCGTGCATGCCCATGTCACCCAGCAGGCCGAGCCTGTCCCCAGTGCCAGCAACAGACCCCAGCTGGGGACTGGGGTGGGCAGCTGTGCCCTACACGTGGGCCCTGGCCCATGTTTGAAGATCTGTACAGCTGACTAGAAGACAAATAGTATCACGCTTCATTGCCTGACGTTTTCTGTATTTGCTTAAGATTACGGCCTTAATTAGTGCCTCTGGGTTGACCTCAGGTCAAGAGATGTGTGCCAAACTACTGTGACCAAACCTGTGTGGCTGAAGGAAAGTATTTTACAATGCTGACCTCATTTTAGACATGTTGCCATAACATGAGTGACTAGCAAATTGGACTGGGCAGAGGCTGACACGATCCTGCCACTTCAGAGTAGTCCTGCCATGCCACACACTACTGGCCCTGCCACGGAAGGGTCCATGTGTTTTTTCTACCAGTCCTTCTGTACATTATTCTTTATGTTGTGCTTGTTCTTCACTTACTGTACGAGATGCCCACCACCAGCAAAGTTTGGTTTCACTAAGGAAGAGCATTGCTCACTGTTCTCATTTTAGGCCTTTGCATGGTGCCCACATGCAGCACGGTTGACTCAAGGAAGGAGCTTGGTGCTAATTTGACAGTACATGGGTAGAGCTTGTTTCAAATCTTTTCTGCTTCCCTGGAAGCTGGTATCTGCAATGATGGCAAAGATCTTACGTCTCTGATTCTGCATTGCTTTTCTGATTTTTATTCAGACAGGCAACCTTTTATGATACGGCAGTGTCAGAGGAAATCTAGAGCCAAACACACCCATGGGGTTACAAACATTGCATCTTCTGCAGACTACAGCCTTGTCGTCACTGGGGTATGGGAACAACTGTGCCAAAGACCGCACACGGGCCTCCTCCTGCGTCTGAATTGTAAGGGCTGGGGTGAGGGTCACACTCTCACTCTGCTATCACTTCCAACACAAATGCTTTGCCTTTTTAAGTTTAGTTCGATAATTGGTTTAATACAGGCTGGCTTCTAGTCTAGGTGGGCGCCTTGGTCACCTGGGTTATGTGCTTGGGGGCACACATGCACTCTTTTCTGCAGACTGCACTCTGGTCTCTAGAAGAGCTTCGTGTCCCTCCATGTCACCAACTCATGAGCCTCTGTGTCCTGAGATGTGGTGAGTATCTGTGACTTTTTCTGGCCTTCATGTAAGTTCCGTCAGTCTTCTGTCCGGCACCATAGAACTGTGCCAGCTCTGTGCTATCTTAGTCCTTTCCAGCCTTACAGGCACTGAAATTTGCCCCTAAAGATTGCTGCTAATTCAGTCACTACCACGTGTTCCTCTCCTTGTTGTATACACGCATATATTTATGTGTATATATACATAAAAGCAAGACAAAAACAAGCATATATATAGATATTATAAACTTCCATTTACAGAACACTCATTTTCAGGCAGAACATATATCTTCTTAATTTTCTGGAAATAACTGCAAATATCTTTCAGGAGAGAATCTCTGCAAATTCCCACCATATCATGGCTTCCCATCATAGGTATTCATGCTCAAGCACCTTCTCTGGATTCCGCATTTCTCACTGCTATTCTCAAAGCCCTGCGTTTCAAAGCTTGTCTAGTACTCACACTTTGTTTTTAATTCAAATCCTCCTTCACTCATTCCCCTACTTAGGATCCCTTCAAAGCTATGCATAGAACAATCTTGCTTCCTTTTTGCCAAACAATATCCTTGTCCTCCTTCAAATCTGCTGAAAACTTACCTTTCACTCAGCTCTACATCACTGTTTTCTTCTGTAGCATTGTTTCAGTCTTCCTAGAGTGAACCTTTCCTGTCTGTCTTCCTTGTGTTTAACCTAGTGTTTAAACCTCTTATTGCAGCATTTTCATCTTTTCATGCATTTGTGAAGTGTCACGCTCCTCATGAAATAAAGTATTACAAATAAGGACCAAGTAGTACCTTTCTATTCCATTCAATTTATGACGATGCTTTCGGGACATTAAGAGTCCACCTCCCCAGGCAGCCTGGAAGAGATAGAAAAAAGAGAAGACTCATTGTTTTTGACAAGCCTAAGATGTCTTAATTTACTCAGGACCTAGAAATAAATATTTAACTCAAGACAAAACACTTGTAAACAAAAATCCTCTTTTGCCTGAATAACAGCACTTCATTTAGTTACTTACATCTACATGGAGCCAGAGGTTATATTTTTCACATATATCTGCAATCTCCTGTATTGGATCAAAGGCTCCATATACTGTTGTGCCTGCAGTTGCATTTACAAAAAGAGGAATGTGACCCTACAATAAAAATAAACACATTAAATACAAAATGCACCTTCTTCCAGAAAAAGAAAAGTATGTGAAAAACGTTTTAGAAATGTCGCTATCCCATTTTCCAGCTTAAATTTTTTTTTTTTCCCCATGTGAAAGGTATAGTAGAAACTAAAAAATTGTATACAAGGTAGGAACAAACTCTGGTTTTATTATACTGTATCTTCACAAAATTAACTAGTCAGAAGGTGAAGAATACAATTTTGTCTAGTATCTTCCAGTGAGGAGATTCAAACGTCCTAGTAGAAGACTGGCAACAGTCAAGTAAAGTTAAGACTTTTACAGAAGTATAAAGGAAAATTAATTAAATGTGATTTGTAAGTTGTGATTTGAAGGCTTGAAGTCTTTATCTACTAATAAGCAGAACAAAGCAATCCAAAACAAAAGCAATAAAAGTGTAACAATCAGATCAAAATGAGACAATTTTGAATTAGATGAAATAAATCTGAACTGCAATTTCAGAGTGCCCAAATGTAGGAGAGTTAAGAAATAAAAAAATAATCTTGATCTAATTTTGGTGGTCTTATACAAAATCAATTTATTTTTCATTGCATTGATTCCAGAAATAACAATTAATGCCTTAAAAAATTAAACTTACTGGCTACATTTACTAACCCTGCAGCCTCACACTTGAAATCTATGGGAACTTTTAGGACTTCAACAGAATTTTTGATGATTTTGGCTAAACTTGACAATTTGTATAAAAGTAGGTTTAGTGTCATGTTTTCATACTTTTTTCCACATAATTCCAAACAGAGAGTTATTTTTAAAGTCACAAAATACAGATGTGGTTGAAGAGTTAAAAACTCTTGTCTTTTAAACAGTAAATGGAAAACTTAGCTACACGTATAGATAATTCCCTCAACAACACATGAAGGCATAATTAGGAAGCTGAAAATATTATTATTATATTTATATCATTATAATGGTAGCTTTTAATGTTAACTCTCAGCCTTTGAAGGAAGAGGTAATTTTACTGAGCCAAGCATTTAAGCACTTATTTTTAAAAACACAAACCTTTTGTTTTGCTTCCAAAATTTTTGCCTCCAAATCAGCTGGTATTATTTTGCCTCTGTAATTATTGTAGAAACAGAAAGATAAAGAAAATTAAAGAGTGCATATGGAAATACTAGCTACAGTTGAAACAATTTAATAGGATTTTCTCAACAGGCCATTAGCAACTTGACACACTGTACCGAACCAGTCCTTAAGCACAATACAACACATTTAACAGATGAACATATTCAATATATCACAAGCTTAGCATTCATCCTACCTTTCATTGCATTTTATCAAAATCACATTGTCTGTTCCAAATCCAAGCGCAGCTCCAGCTTTCTTTATTGAGTAGTGACTCTGCAGCAAAACATACGCACAATTAATGGAGTGGTTGTTTAATGATGAAGCATCTTCACAACATACATCAATAAATTAAGAATTAGGAGAGCACTAAACTCACGTGTTCTGAGGTAAAGAGAACCAGTTTGGGGACTGCAGCCATGCCTTTGGTTTTGACTTCAGGGAAATACTTGTAGCGTGCAGCCATTATGCTGTACATGTTGGAGATAGCTCCTCCTGTGAGTGAATGAATAAATGAAGGAATAATAGAATAGTGATAATGAGAAAAAATGCACATCGCACTAAAGACATACAAGTCTCATTTGCATTATGCAGTGAAGGTGGCAATGAACTATGAAAAAATAAATCTCTGAAATGCATGGTCATCTGTCTAAACAGCACAGGGACAGACCCTCCAGAAAGTCATAATGATAGTTCAGATTTCCTATCCATCATCTCTTTTGATCACCAACATTTTATAACACATTCCTAAAGAGTTCAGCTTTCATCATGCTGCTTTTGCATGACAACTTCTTTGTTTTGGTGGTTTGGCTACAACTTAAAAGTTAAAATAAACGATTTATCCCATCTCGTAGATACAGAAGCAGATGCCTAAAAGGTAGGTTTCTACAGCTGAGCTAGCTATTCTAAGCTTCCTTATAGTCAATTACGGGAAAGAGGCAATTTGCAAGCTATCA